GCCGACTGACCCGGGTTCTGGTTCTGGATGGTTCCCCAGTTCAAACTAAAGAACCTCCAACATTAATAAATTATTTTTCATAGCATGAGCCAAACTTTGGCTTCCAGCCTCTTGTTGCCGGGTCGGGCACCAACCTGCCTCCGGCCCAGGTCCGTCAGAACCGGCCCATTCTCGCCCTGGACGCAGTCCGGCAGCTGGTTGGCGCGCCCGTCGTCCTGCGCGGCGCCCAGGTTGGCAACAAGTTGGGCAAGCTGGCTCTGGTTCAGCTGCAACGCATAGACAGGGAGACATGAGGCGCTGCTGCGACCCGGTTCTACTGAGGGATTGGCAACTGGACCGGACCTTAAAGATATGACACAGGTTCTCCAGGGCCCGGTCCAGGAACTCGTGGGTCTTCTTCAGGTACTCGCCGCTGTCCTCGGGCTCGGCGCCGGGAAACGCGTTGCTGAGGTCGGAGGAGGCGAGTCCAAACCAGGACAGGAAGGAGCCACCAGCCGCCGCCTCGCTGGACTGATCCGAGATCCGCTTGGCCGTGTGGCGGGCCTGCGCGATGATCTGGATCAACCTCATGACCTGCAGGGCGAGCGGTGACACGGTTAGCGACGTGCCAGGCCAAACAGACCTGAAGCGGAGCCGCCGGTAACTCACCGCTCCTCGGACCTCGGAGCCAAACATCTGCTTGTACTGGCAGTCCTGTCCTTCCAGGGAATACACGTGGCTCTTCACTTTGAACGCCGTGTCAGTCACCATCCGTTGCCGTGGTGACAGGTAGCTGCCCCCCTGGCCCGGCGTCAGGTACCCGCGGGGCTGCCGGTGGGGCAGGACTTGCTCCGGTTCCAGAAACAGCTGCTCACCTGGAGAGGAAAAGCAGAAACACAAAGAGATGCCTGATTAGGCCTGTCACGATAATAAATTTTGCTGAGCGATTGTCTCAAAAATTATTGCGATAAACGATAATATTGTTTGAAGACCATTTTAAACTGATGTAATGGTAATGACATAATAATGCAAGAGATGTCCTGCCAAAAATAGATACACTTTATTTTCAAAAGAAAACTAAACACTGGGACTGGTAAACTAAATAAACAACCAAAAACAAAATGGACTCTCAGTCTCTGTTAACAAAAAAAGCACTTGAATAAAAACTGTAGTTTTTATTTCCAAAGTGGAAATAAAAACTACATTCAACCAAAAGAGTCCAGATTATGAAGTCCGTCTACTACATTCATCCTTCAATAATCATTAGATTTAGATGGAGAATATGGGCACATCGACCACCTGATCCAATACTTCACTCCGACCTGTAGCCCAGTTCACACTACTTTGCCCCGGTTTTCCCCTCAGGACAATCTCAGAAGGTCCAACGATGCTCCTGTAGTGTGTTCCGACTGATCGGGTCCAGTCGGTAGAACCGCTCCGATCTAAATCAGGCATATTCAACATGTTGGATTGTCTTGGCCAGTTTATCGCTGCAGCCTGTGGGTTTTCCCCGACTGGGAGCGAGAAGGCAGCCTGCTGAATGTGACAGGCAGCCAATCAGAAAGCGCGGATTCCCCTCCGCCTTTCTGAAGGGAAAACATGGAGAGGAATCCCAAACAGCTGACACGGCACAGCGAGAGTCCAGCAGACATGGAGATGATATGTTTATTCAACATTTCATGAGGAATACCCACAGAAATGACCAGGACAGGAGTTGGAGTGAACTTGCTACTGCAGCTGATGAACCCGGTAACTTCTCAGCTGTTTATTACCCATTATTATTAATGGGTAATAATGATGAGGCTATGCATTCAGCCGCGTTCGTTCACTTTGATATAGTGGGTTTTTATGGGATTTTCTGTCTGAAATCTGAATGTCGGTGAGAGAAATCGGTTCGTGTGGTGTAGCTCTTGCTGTGTGGCTGGACATACAGCACGATTGAACCCGGTTGAACCCGTTATACTTACGGTTTGTCTTCGGCTAGTGCGTCTCTTAGGTTTTGAAAACGGGCCGACGGTCGGCCGACAGTTCTAAGATCATGTAATGTGAGCTGAGCATTAAGGAAACGAGGAGGGGAGTCAGTGGAGAGCACCGAGTTGAGCCCGTTTTCATTCAGTGTCATCAACAGAAAGAGAAAAGGGCAGGAAGAGACGATAAAGCCGACAAATTAAAACGAGGTCGATAACTTTCATCTGTCGTGCGATTCATTCATTTATTGTTTATCGCGACAGGTGTTAAGAATTATAAAAAATAATTACATTAAAAGAATCCAAACAAATCCTGTTGAGATAAATGACCTTCCTGATCAAATTAAATACCAAAACATAAATTACAAAAAAATCTCTTAGAATGTTCTAATTTAGTTTTCTGGCTTTTCGCAAACAGAAATAATTGTTTTGATTCTGACCGACCTGAAACCACAAAAATTTATTCAGATTCAACTTCAGACAGCGAAGAAGAAAAAACGATTCACCGTCAGCTGTATGTAAATATCTGGTTCAAAGTGTAAATAACGTTTTGATCCAATAGTTCATATTACAGTGGAGTACATATCAACAAACCTGATAACTTTATGCATTACTTTAATAGTGCACAAGTTAAACTTTATACCATAAAATATCTGAAAAATAAAATATCTGGCAACCAGATTTGGGCCAAAATAGAAAAAAAAATATGAGAATAAAGTCATAATAATATAACTTTATATACTCTGTCAAAAAAATAAAATGTTAGCACAATAAAGGCGCCAATATACTCGGGCGCTCTGGCCGCGGACGGTTGAGTCTTCATACTGAGCTACTGATGACCTGAAATTCTCTCGTGACAAATTCTTTATTTCACACAATCTTAATGAGAACTAGCAAGTTTGATGAACTATTTGGGCGCCTAGCTCCGTTTCTCCATCCGAGAAGCTTTAACTCGCCTCTCGGTGCGGACAGAGAAAGGCAGAGACATGTCGGTTCATCCGGCAGACCGAGCCGCTGCCCGAGCAGCGCAGCTTCCTGCTGCAGGCAGCGGAGCAGCAGGGGGCTTTAGCTGCAATCAGGGATCCATGCAATAAGCTTTGAATGTTTATTATGTTCTAAAAGCACAATTGTGATCGGTGTAATAATTTGTGCACCAATCGAAAATGAGCACATACCCGATCATTGTTCGTTGCCGTTGTTGGGAGAAAGAGTCAGACTGAACTTATCGGACCAGCTCTCTGCTCCGCTGCATCTGGGACGACGTCTTGGTTTTGTTCTCAAAATTCACCATGTCAATATTTGTGTGAATATATAAAGCCTGCTGCTGTTGAGTATTTTTGCTTACGTGTCCATCACGTCCCCGTGACAACTTTATGTTGACTTTTATCATGTTGGTCTGAACATTGAAACAACATGAACTCGTATAACCCTGGTTATACGAGTAAAGTTATAGTTATCGACCTCATCAGCCCGGGGTCGCATGAAAACCAGTTGGATGTTAAAACTGTTTCCACCAGGCAGTTTACTGTGCGACACCGAGTTCGCGGTCAGAAACATCTGTCCGGCAGACGGCCGCTTCGAGTCCCTGCGGACTGAAGTACGCCCGAGTACATTGGGGCCTTAAGACCTGAGCTCAATATGGAGAACAAGAGTTGAAACACGAAGCACCGAGTTAAAGCTCAAGAATGTAAACGTAAATATTTCTCCTTGAAGAAGCTGAGAAAAATCATTGTTATTTTTCAGGCAGATTTAAAAACATTCCCATTCTGCGCTGCACTCCTCACCAGCAGGTGGCGGTAAACACCAGCTGTCAGCCCCCTCCAACTGACTGAACAACAAACTGGATTATAAGAGACACTGAGCTGAACCAGCGTTTACTTGGTCTGACCTACAAAAACATTTACTTTCCTTTTGGGATAAAGCAAACATTTCCTAGTGATTATTTTATGAAAAATAAATCTAATTATGCAGGAAACAGTTTCAGTTTTAACCTCATTTCTCTGTATTTCACTCGGACGCTTCAGTTCTGCTTTTATTTGAGAGCAGCCAGAGAACCTGGAGCTCCGACACGTTCCTCTGCTTTTTTACACTTTGTGCAGAATAAAAGTTAAATGGTTGACTTTACTGGGTTTTTTCAGCGCGTTACAGACATAAACATTAACTTGGCTGAACCTGGAGCTCAACTGCTGAGAAACGTGAAACTTTAGAGCAGGGTGTCCAAACTTTATCACGCGTCCAAAAGGACGAAACAGCTGAACAATGAACTAAGAATACCTTAAATAATTTGACTGTTGGAGAACGGCGTGGAAAGTATTCTAGATCCAAACTAAAGAGATCCGCCTTATTAAAACAAAAGTGAACATTTAAAGACAAAACAACTGAACAAAATGGTTCAGATTCTGATCAACAAAAATCTGCATTTATGTCAGTTTCTTTGGAAATGCTTTAGAAAAGTTTCATAAATGGATTAAAAGCTGGTCAATGTGCAGCGAAGGAGTGAAAGTTACTGGAAAGACAGAAAGAGTAAAACCTGATGATTAATGAGAAGAGGGTTAGGGTTAACCCCCTTTTCAAAAGGAACAGAAAATTTACATCAAACAGCCGAGCAGGAACTGCTGCCCGCTGCATCTGAAGGCAGGGGCCACACATGGCCCCCGCACCACACCTTGGAAACCCTGCCTTACAGGAATGAACCTGCACAGCCTGAAGCGGGCAGGAGGCCCACCTGGCAGCAGCTTGGGGTACTTCTGGTGCACCAGGTTGGTGAGGTCTCCGCCGTCGTCCAGGATCATGTTGAGCGGCGCTCCGTCTCTGAAGTACAGCGTCTGCTCGATGCACCACACGTACTCCTCGTCCGTCTCGCCCTTCCAGGCGTAAACTTTAAAAATAAATCAGAGGTCACTTCCTGCCTGCGCGCTACGCCGAGCGGCCACAGGGGGCGCTGTCTGGTACCTGGAACGCCGGTTTTGGCGATGGCAGCGGCGGCGTGGTCCTGGGTGGAGAAGATGTTGCAGCTGGACCACTGAACCTGTGGAGGGGGTCAGAGGTCAGAGGTCGGCCATGTTCACCTTTCACAGTTCAAACCACCTCTGATGAGATGACATCCACCTCCATTAATAATCAATAGAAACAGATTTATTGGCGAATCGATCATGTTCGCTGCATGTTTATCTTTTACAGTGCATCACCTGACCCTACACCTCAAAAAACTAAATCTGACCAAACAAACATCCAAGTTCAGTTCAGTCAGAAAAAATCCTTAATATTGATAATAAATGAGGACTAGTCCCGCTGGCGAATTACTTCACTCATCAAACAGATCATCAGTGAAATAACAGGAGGATTTTATCAATATTCATTATTAATGAAAACAAGCCATTATATTTTGTTACTTTTCAGTTATTTTTGTCTTAACTGAACTGAGATATTTGCTCTAGAAACTAGACAAAAATACTTGGTCAGATTTGGTGTTTTTCCAGAGTAACTCAGACTAGATTTAGTCACTCCAGATGAACTTAAAGCCAGAGCTTCCAGTGAGTGATTTCAGGCTGCAGCAGCTGCAGCAGCTGCAGCAGCGCCGGGCCGGTCCAACATGGCCAACTGCTTTGACCCGTTACAATCATCCTGCAGTTCAGGTTGGGTTCACATTCTGCTTAAAAACAGACCTGTTTGAAATTTTATGATTATTTAACTGCAAGTGTGTCGCTCACTGCTGCCACCTGGTGTCAGAACACAAAGGCTGCAGGTCTGAGGAAATGAATATGGACGAGGTTAGAACCCATTTCCTCTCCAGAAGTCCAGTTCTGCTCTGACACAGGCAGTTTTCTGGTCCCATCCTGCTGGTTTGGGCAGGATGGGACCAGTCCAGATCGGACAGACCCAGATGTGATAACCGCACAGCAGCCTTGAGGAGCAGAACTGAGTCAACATTAGATCGATATGCTGGCCCCCTGCAGAGCCTGAGAGCAAACAGCTGCCATAAACACAACAGAGCTCCTTCATTAGTTCAGCATTAACTCAGCCGGCAGCACAGGGTCAAAGGTCACCTCGGCTCCGAGGGCCGTCAGGGTCTCGATGAGCACGGCGGTCTGCAGCGTCATGTGCAGGCAGCCGGCGATGCGTGCGCCTTTCAGCGGCTTGGACTGGCCGTACAGCTCCCTCATCTTCATCAGGCCTGGCATCTCGTTCTCTGCGATGGCGATGGCCTTCCGCCCCCACTCCGCCAGGCTGATGTCAGCTGGACCCGACCGGCGCCGCCAGGGAGGACAACGGTTAGGAAACATTAACGACATCTGGCTCAATATTCAGAGGTTTTTCACTCGGTAAAAGCTTTTATTTATTCTCTTTCCTGCAAAAAACATCAAACTTTCAGCTCAGCTAGGAGGAATAAATCACACTGGAAAACGTTCAAGTTCACCAGAGCGCCGTCTGCAGGAACCTCACAAAAACCTCTTCAATTCAGTCACATTCATCCCAACTGATCCTGGTCATCAAGACACCCAATTACTCTTTAAAATGTTTCTATGCAAGTAAACTGAGAGGAACAGACATTTTATCAAACTTGGTCAGATTTGGGTCGGTCCTGACCGAGTCAAACACACTCAGAAAAAGTATCCTGTTCAGCCAAAACTCCCTTCTCTGCACCTTCATTTCACTTCTTGGCGTCAATTAAAATCCATTCTGCGCTGAACTAAATGACCAAACCTGACCAATGGGCAGCAGAAAGTTAACATTTACAAATCTGGCGTCACATAAACCAGTAAAATACTCTAACATTACTCCAGTGCATGAATTAAGATGGTTAAGTTTGATTTCTGCAGGCCTTTGACAGTGTTTGTTTAGACTTTGACCCCACTGATCATGTCAATCATATTTTGTTAGCTTCCAATCACATGACGATCCAACAGCGTCAATTTCAAATAAATTGTTTTGCTTTGCTGTTTTGTTGTTGCTTAACTGGCGCCAACAGGTTTTAATTTGCTTTTTGATTACTTTTGATGTGTTTGATCACGATTTTTCACACATCTGAAGCCATTAAGATTACATGTACAACAGAACCTGAAAAACACATTAAAACTATTGAAAATCATAAATAAAAGTATAAAAAACAGACACTAAGCGCGTATGGAGACCACGTGTTGTTACAGCTATGTAGCTACTCTCAGTCGGTGCAGCATAATCTCTGCCTGTTCTTGTCACTCACGAAGCAAACTGGCGGTGAAGCGCGAGGCATCACGGGAGATAGAGTTTACAAACACCGCGCGAGCAGTGGAGCGCCGAGCCACGGGCTGTGCTGATTAACTACATTACCCAGAAGCGTTTGGTGAGCTGCTTCAGGTACAAGAGAAGCCCATGCTGGGCGCGAGTACATGTCGATTCATTCTCACGACTGAACTACAAGCCTGTGAAATGTAAACATGAGACCCGGACTAATCATAAACTACAGAACTACCGAAGATTAATAAGAATGTGAAATACGCGGGGATGTTTAAAGTACAACTACACATTAATCTGTAAGGCATGCTAACAAGTGAACTCTGTCTGGAAAACATAAGTCCTAAGGCTAAAACCGGATTCGTAAGTAATATGCGAACATAAAGTTGAATATTGGGTTCTGTTAAAGTTTCTGAACCCGTCAGAACCAGTTAGAACATTCAACCTTAACAACTCGCCAGCGACTCGCCAACAAAGCTACTTCGGTAAATACCGATTAAACGGCGAGAAAAGAAGCGCAGCCACCTACCAACTTTGTAGGGCAGTTTCTCAGACATGGCTGTTCAGTGTAGTTTGGTTCCGAGGAGTCTGACTGAAGCTGCAGCCTGGCCGGCGTACTGAGGCGGAGAGGGAGGGACAGAAACATGACGGCTCGGTTTTTATCGGCCGGGCTTCGTTCAGGCTGCTCTCCGTAGCTGGGTGGCTCCGACGCGGGGATACTCTGGTTTTCTATTGGCTGGAGCAGCTCCCACCCCACAGCCGGGTAGCCAATCAGTACGTGAATTTTGACGTGGGGCGTTCACTGACTGTGGAAAATGTAGTTAGAGCGAGTCTGGACTGGACTCTGTCGGTGTTTTCAGCTGTTATTCAGTAAGCCTCGACACAAAAGTTGCAAAAATAAAAAAAAAAAAACAGTAGCGCATAGTTCTTCTGGGAGTATATTTAACGTTTAAAACCGAGAACATCTCTATTTATAACCAGTGATTCAACGCTTTATGTAAATCTCCCCGGTTTTGTATAATAATTTAACTCAAAATTAACTCCTAGGTAAAGCTTTCATTTCATTTCTTTGGACTGTTATTGCAGAAAAATTGTTACAAGTAGAAACATAGTCTTTGTATACGAGAGCTCCTAAATATAAGTGAACAACATTAGGAACTCTATTATCCATAAAGATGTTGGGAGTAGACCCTCTGCTGCTCCCCAATGAAAGGCAGTTGAGGCTTTAAGAATATGATCTGGATATGCAAAGGGTAGCTGAGAAAAAAAAAAAAAAAAAAAACACCAAGGAAGCAGTGAATATATTGCCTGCAGTTAATAACTCACTGGTGTCTTCAGTTTTTATACATCCAGATTGGTCTGGGAAGTAGAAGCAAACAATTTTTTAATTTTCTGTTCATGTTGTCTGTTGTGTTTTGCTGCTGCAGAAATGGAATTAATTTAAGACTGGTTTCCAACTTCATTTTTATGTTTATAAAACATCTAATTGTTTCGTGTATATGTGTGCCAAGCGTCCAAATGTCTGGTAATAAGACAATCATCTGGATCAGCCAAATGTATAATGTAACTTATACGTGGAAGGGGGTCAAAGCTGACCCACCATCTTCTCCACCATCATAAATTATGCAACCCAGATGTTTAAATTATAACTTTGCATGCAAGTCACATTTTCTGTAGCTGTAGTTAGAAAATATCAAAGAAATGCAACTGGTAAGACGGACGGTCTGAGTGTGACCTTTGACATTGAGCTGTAACATTATGCTACAGGTAATTTAGGAGCAGATGTAGAACTGCCAGCTCAGGTTCCTCTGGCTCTGTGAGGCCGAGTTTAGAAAACAACCAAAAACTTAAAACTATTTAAAGGAAACATGTTTTTATAGCAGTAAATGATTCGCTCTGTAAATGTTTGAAAATCAAAGTGGATGACAGAAACTGTCAAATCAAGAGTTTGAGCTTGAAAACAAGGAAGCTGTTGGTGGAGGTGTTCCTCAAGGATCAGTTCTTGGACCAGTTCTGTTTATCTATGGATAAATTTTTAAAATATCTTTGACCCGGAAATGAATTTGGGAACCACTTCGTCCACCAAGACTTAAAAAAAAGAGTCAAAACCATTTAATAAAGGAGGAACATTTAAAAAACTGGAAAAAAAGGTCCAGCAATGGCTGATTGAGAAAAAGCATAAAAATCTAATTCTTTTATTTGGAAAATCAGCAATTCTTACAAGTCATTGAATCCAAACTTTATTCAGGTTACCTGTGCTGTAGCAACAGTGAAACCGCTTGCACCACATAAAGTCTAGAACCAGCGCAGTCGGGAAGAGCATGTTGACATCTGAGGTAAAGTAATCCCAGCATATGTTGGAGCTTTTTACTTATAAATACAAAGAGCGGCTTGGAGAGCTGCAACGCTTTTATCAAAGTTTAGATCCGACGAGCAGGAGGAGAGGCTGCAGCCCGGCAGTGAGCAGAAGCTTGTTTCCATGGTGATTTCAGCAGGAAGAACGAGTCAGAACCAGAACCCATCGGGTCCATCAGTGAGTGCTGGAGCAGAGTTACACATAACGCCAGTCGTTAGGTAACCGCAAACCACAAGGCGCAGGAGGTGTCAGGCACGTTTCATTCAGCAGAGCAGCAGGCCAATCAGAAACAGATCAAACATCAACATATCAATTTACAGCTGAAACACGAAACCTTCCTTCAGGAGTTCACCTCAGTCTCATTTAATCCCAAACCGTTCAGCAATCTGAGGAGATTAACTCAGTGAGAAGAGCAGCAGCTCAGAGCAGAACGCGGCGTGTTTTTCCTGCAGAACATTCCGGTTGTTGATGAAATCACTGAAGCTAAATTCACATTCAGAGAAAATTTAAGCAGTTGGTTGATGCAACATATCTGTTTCAGAGATGTGTGTGAAATTTTAGATTATTTAAACTCTTGAAAGGAAGCAAAATTTTTCATGTTTTCTTCCAAATTGCTTTAAGGAAAATAAGACTTGAAGGTGTGGCTGAAGCGAAGCAGCGAAGGTTTCATGAAAACTTAAACTCCAGCTGTGCAACAGGAGCAAACGCTCCCTCAGTAATATGTGAATCATGGTTCAGTACCGATCCGACGTTCCTAAGACATTCAGCAGAAACGGGTTCATCATCTCTGCAGTGCAGCAGACTGACAGGAACATGGAGAGCAGCAAGATGGCCGCCACCGCCACGCCACTTTCTGTACAGGAGTTGATGCTTCACATTGCTGCAAAACAAGCCTGGCCCTGCTGCTGCACACACACACACACACACACGCGCACGCACAAACCATTTCCACAAACACGGTAGCCTCAGGCTCCTGGAGGACTTTTTGTTTCACTCAGAGAGGGAACAGAAGTCAGAGGTCGCTCAGCAGGAAGAGAAGCTGGGATGCAGAGCAGCATCAGCAGCTGACAGCCCCTGCTGCTCTGCTAGGGAAACCCCGCTTAGTTGGCTGCCCAGGCCTCCAGGTCGGCCATGTCGTCCTCGTCTTCCTCCACCTTCTTCTTGGCTGGAGCAGAAACAGAGAAGAGGTCAAAGGTGAGGCAGAGCGTCCAGCGCAAAAGCAGGTAAGTCTGAACAGGAAGTCTCACCTGGCTGAGAGGGAAGCGACGTGGACGGGACGCTGGGCAGAGACACGTCTTCTGTTCCCTCGATCTCCAGCAGGTTTTTATCCAGCTCTTCCTGCTCCAGCTCCTCCAGCTCCGCCATCAGCTCATCCTGAACACAGAGACGGGGATTAGGCTATAATCTGGACAGCGCTCCATTAGGCAGTAAATATGGCCGCCGCAGCGCTCCATTAG